CTGCGGAGGCCAGTGGCGCTCGCCGGGGCGGCCGGTCAGCGCGGCACAGGGCGGCCGGTCAGCGCGGCACAGGGCGGCCGGTCAGCGCGGCACAGGGCGGCCGGTCAGCGTGGCACAGGGCGGCTGGTCAGCGCGGCACAGGGCCAGTGCAGAAATGGCAAAGGCCAGGCCAGGCGCTCACGGGCAAGAGGCAGACAGACCCGAAAGCCATCTCTGCCGAAGGATGGGCTCTGACACAGAGGGGCGGTGGACCCTCGCCAGGCCAAGGCCCAGGGCCAGGCTGGGAGGGACAGCGCAGGGGGCCATTCCGGGTACCCTGATGGCCACAGGGTCATCCAGCAGGGACATGGCCTACATGGGCACCTGTGTATTGTCCCTAACCAGGACGGCTCCTCCCTTCACTCCTGCTGCCCCCCAGCCTCCTCTGTCAGGAGGCAGGGCCTTGTGAGGTCACCTGAGCACTGAGGGGGCACCCAGGTGGGCAGCCAGGCAGACAAAGGAAGAAGGCTGTGGCCTGGAGTGAGGGCAGAAGTGGTCAGACGTGCGGCTGGTACAGCCGTGTGGGTGGGAGGCTGCTGGAGGTGCAGGGAGAGCACAGTGCCAGGGTGAGTGGACAGATGGCACCAAGGAGCACCCGCTGCCCAGGGCACGTCCCCACTGGGCCCCCCCACCATGCAGCACTGCCTGGACGCTCAGAAAGTCAGTGTCATGAGACGCAGGAGGGTGGGGAGTGGGTGGGGATCGAGGAGCCTCAGCCACACCCAGCAAACGCAGTGTGGACGCTGCCTGATCCGGGGAGAGGGGAGAGTGCGGAGGTCTGGGTTCCAGGGTTACCGAGGCCCTGGGGCACTGGCACGGAGGACCGAGGAAGAAGCTCAAGGCTTTAGGGACGGGCCAGAGACACGCAGGCACAGGCGCCCCCCCGCCACAACGCACAGCACTCAGGCAGTGCTCGGTGACGTCAGGCTGCCCTGTCAGCTTATCTGTGGCCTTCAGCCTCAAGGCCAGCATGCTGGGGAGGGGAGGAGTGATGCAGCAGGGAGATGGGGCGGGGGCAGCTCAGGCTCCAGGGAGTCCCGACACCCAGCCCCCAACACAGGATGGGCACCCAGTGTCTTCTGGAGTTCTCTGGGAAAAAGGGCCTGCAGACTTGCAGATTCACTGTGAACCTGAACCCCTAAGCTGAAAACAATCAAAATAAGAAAAAAAAGAAAAAAAAGACCAGGACAGCAGTCAAGCCTGCAGTCTCGCCACACAGACCCGACGTCAGGGGTCCCCCCACACGGATTACTTCCAAAAGCAGAGGGACAGAAAGCCCCTCCAGCGGGGCTGCAGGGCTGCAAGGAGGCCAGGGCTCTGACATTACACATGAGCAAGAGCCCCTCTCCCAGCGGCAGGACTCAGCTCTGCTGCATTCCCAGATGGGCCACAAACAGACTTAGAAACCAACCCAATGGAGGCCAGCAGGTGGTGTAGTGGTTATGGTACCGGACTCCCATGTGGCCAACCATGGTTCAAGTCCTGGACCCTGCAGCTTGAAACTCATGCTGTGTGTGTGTGTGTGTGTGTGTGTGTGTGTGTGTGTGTGTGTGTGTGTTTGTGTGTGTGTGTGTGTGCTTACCTGCCCAAAATCCTGACGGGAGAATGGAGAAGGGGCTGCAATGTGGCCATCGCCCCCCCCCCCGGGGGGGGGGGGGGGCGACTTCTTGCTTGCTGTCTCTCTGGCAAGTGGACGCACCCTATAGCAAAAATCTCTCAAAATAACAATAAAAAATTATGGGACCAGCAGGTGGCAAGGTGGTTAAGGCACTGAACACTCCCACATGGCTGACCATAGTTCAAGTCCGGAACCTGGTGGCTTTCTTTCCGGGGCCAGCAGGTGGCATGGTGGCTAAGGGCGCTGGACTCCCTACATGGCTAACTGTGGTTCGAATCCTGGACCTGACAGTTTGCTTTCTCACTTTCCCTCTGTCCCTGTCTGGTGAAATTAAAATAAACAAAGCTAAATAAAATAATTCTTTAAAAAAAATAATAACGATAACAAATTTAAAGACAAGAACCCTAACGTTCAGTTTGGAAAGCTGCCCGCCAAGCCCCAGCGGGTGACACACAGGTGCACTTTTTCTCACTGAGACCCTCCTGGCCCAAAGTCAGGCCTCGGGAAGGGTTTTGGTGTCTAAGAGGACAGAGACCGGGGGCAGAGTGTGGACACAGCACAGGCTCTGCAGTCACAGGGAGCTGAGGCAGGACGCCGCTGGAGGGGAGTGTCTGAGAGGCCTTCACTCCTCCTAGGCCTTCCCAGAGCCCAGGGTGGGCCCTCAGGGACGCCTCAGGGTGGGCCCTAGGGACGCCTCAGGCTGGGGCTGAGCACAGGGTTTGGAGCAGCCGGTTCCTTTGGTTTGGTGGGGCCTGGGGGTAGAGCAAGAGCGACAGGCAGGGCCCAGCTGCACCGTGTGGGCAGTGACCTCGGAGCCCTGCAGCAGGAGCCCTCACTCTGCTCCAGAGGCCCTGGGAGCACGTTCCAGATGTGGCTGCCACTGTACGGTATGTAGGTGGGCCACGAGAGGTGACGGGCTGGAGGTCAGGGCGGCCCCATGACTGAACCCTCGTGGCTTTACAAGGAGAGGGAGCGACACTTGCCCTCTGGCCATAGGCTCTGCAGAACCCACCACCCACAGGCCCTGGACCTCGGCCGCACTGACCGGACCCACGGAGTCTCCACTGTCTGTACGTCGCCATGGCCAGGTCTGCGGCTGCAGCGGGAGGAGGGCTGCACCACCCACCTCTACGCCTGAGGCCTCAGTCAGCCTGCCGCCTAACCACGAGGCCAGCACACTGGTGGGCGGGGCTTGGGCACCAGCTGACCACGGAGACGGGTCAGCCACCTGGGTGCCAACGGTGCTCCATGATGGAGACGACACGGATGCTCACGTGTGTGCTACCACATGTGCCCACCTGGCTCCATGGGAGGGAAGCTGTGTCTGGACGTCTCAGCGGCTGGCCGGCCACCCCCCCCCCCCCCCCCCGCCCCGCGG